AAAAAATAGCTAGTCAGAGATAAAGACATCCAAAGAAGAAAAAGCTCAGGGAAGTGCAGGGGGGTGCTGCTGCCTGGCTAATGCAGTAATACCGTGGGAGTTACAGGCACACAGCCAGTGTTGTCTTTAATATTCTTCATGCTGTTTGCTGCCCAGAGCTGACGCTTTAAACTGCGCCTACATTAGTAATGGTGCTCACAATGAGGGTTTTTGTTGCTAATACTAAACAATGATGAAAAACACATTGCAAACACTTTCAAAATCCTGATTTACTGTCTACTAAAACAATCCTGTTACTTACTCAAAAAATATTTATGCATTAAATGAAGACTTGAAGTAATCTGATTACATGTAAATTTTCCATGTAACTACAGTGTACAACATTACATTTAATGGAATATGGTCAAATGAAATTTACTTGAATGGTACACATTGAGTTTATATCAACCATATTTCCCTTAATGATTAATTATTTTAATAAATAAACCTTTGATTTTTATGTATTTCACTGTTGTGCAGTCAGATATTTACCTTTGCTATTTTCCTTTAAAGAAATATAAAAAATGTTTTCCTAAATAATGGAAGTGTGTTTTTATTTCTTTCAGTATATTTTAACTCACTTTAATTATTTTGCCAAATATTCAAAATTTCATAACAGATGTTTGCTTGTCTCCTCCCCGTCAGTGGCTGCCTCCTTCTCACCTGCAAACTGTCTGTCAGAAGTCCCTCTGCCTCCAAACTTGGTCACAAGTTTCCCATTGGATTGAAAGATGAAGACGCAGCAAGCCTTGTTGTCCACAGTGATGATGTGTCCGTTCTTATCCACAGCCACACCCTTGGGACCCATGAGCCGTCCTGCACCGATCTTATTCTGTGATGCCGAGAGACAAAAAAGTAGTTTAGCACTTTTTCAAGCTGAAGGTAAATAGTGAGGCAGAAAAACACCAAAAGACTATTTTTTAATAGATTTCACATATGAACAACCCTTAAATGAGGCATTTAGTGCTGTTCAGCCTGCACAGAGATCTTACCTTAAACTTCCCATCAGGAGAGAAGATGCTGACCCACCGATTGTCATAGTCGGCCACCACAATGTCACCGTTCATGTCAACAGTGACACCCGTTGGTCTTTGCAGCTGCCCTGGAGACCGACCTCTGACCCCAAAGCGCATCTTGAATTGGCCGTCATTGGAGAAAACCTGCAATTGGGTCCATCAAAGCAAACTGTTTAGAGTGTACGGCAGAATACACTCGTTTGAATATCCACTTCTGTGCGATCACTGTGAAACACGTGGCTACACTGCCTCACCTGTATGCACTGGTTGTTGCTGTCAGCCACCACCACTCTGCCATTACTAGAGGCTGAGATCCCCTGGAGATTTGTGAACTCGCCTTTCTCTCTACCCCGAGAACCTGACAGAAAAAAAAAGGCAAATACTCAAGAAATGTGTCATTTACCATTTTCACATTAGTCTCCAGTCTTATACACTGTGCACTCATGCCGATCATTTCCCAAAGTATGACATACGTTTTGTTGGATTCATTTCCTATCTCCCAGGCTTGGGAAAGTTTGTTTAAAGCGGCAAAAGAGTTCAAAAGTAAATTACAGAAACTTGCTTGAGTTAAATAATATGAAGAAGTTGCAAAACCTTTGAATGCCAGTGACATTTTTTTTTTTATCTCAGCCAAAGCCAAATTGTCTACAAAAAAAATCTATAAAACAATCAAGCCAGATCAAAGTTTTATTGTGTAGTCTATTGGCATGAACTGGAAACTGCAACTGCCTGGAGCGGAGTGTGTCAATTTAAAAGCCTGTCTTGTGGCTTAGAAGCTAACAAATGATGACATAAGTATTCTTGATTTGTAACAAAGATAATGTAACTTGTGTAGGACATAATTTGCTTTTCCGTGTCTCTCTTACCCACTCTGTAGATGAGCTCATCTTCAATGGGGTTCTCCTTTTTCTTAGTCGTGCTGTACATACTGGAAGGCCGTCGCACTGCCTTCTGCCGTATGTGGCCCCCCGTGCCACTGGGGGACTTCACCCTCCGCTTCACATCGTCTGGAGATTGCGGAACATCTGACGGCTTAACTGCTCGCAGTCGGAAAGGGCTGCCACGTACCGGCTGTCCGTACAGCAGCAAAGAAAACGAGTACTCTCCCTCAGAGCGTAACGTGTAGCCCACCTCGTATGTTCCATTCTTATTGTCCGTTATCTCCGTCTCTGCAGCCCGGCTCCCATCAGCGGACGTTATCTCTGCTTTTAAAACTGCGTTTCCTGTCCGCACCAACTCCCCATCCTGCAGATAGGGTTCACTGAGTCAATTTCCGAATAACACAAAATCTTCAATATGCACACGGCAGCCACTAAAGAAGCACTTTCCACACATGCATGAGAAGCTTATAATAGATTTCTTTTCATAAAAGTAATCCCTGAAAATTGCCTCGGTGACCAGAGTAGTCACCATGAAATAACTTTTGGAAACGAACTCTGATAAATGCTATGAAATTGAATGAAAAGCCACACACAAAAAAAGCAAATAAATGTCAGTAAACCCATTAGAGCCAAAGTAAAAAGTAAATGGCTTAATTTACACATATAGCAGAACAATATTATGATAGTAAAGCAACATAATTCAGAGACAGTACTTTGTCTTTTGTTGTCACAGTAATAGTTTGGTGTTGCCCAGTTGCTGCATGGCGGAGGCCCTCTCCTGTGGCCACGGAAGTGTGAGCCACAGCTGCTGTGGTGAGGAGAACACCCAGGTTCTGGATGGAGCGCCGCAGGCCCTCGGTCTCCACCTTGAACACACAGCACATTTGAATTTTTGAGTTTCTTAATACTTTTTATTATTATTATTATTATTATTATTATTATTATTATTATTATTATTATTAAGTCTTTCTGTGTCTGCAGCTGGTAACTACTAATGCTACTTTACGACTGGGTTTATACATTTGTTTTATTACCCACACCAAGGAGGTAATGTTTTTGTAGCATTGCATGCCTGCTGTTCAATCTGTTGGTATATGGGAATTGTAAATATTACTTTTGCTGCACTACAAGCTTCTTTCATTACATTTAAAAAAATAAAACAAACTGAATATATAAAAAAAATCCTGTAAAAGTAAACACTGCCCACAGAGTGAGCTGCCTTGGTGGAGATTTGTCCTTTCTGAGTACTGCTTGTTATACATGTAGTCAAATTACAGTCACGTGAAAAATAAAACGTTGAGACAGGACTCACGCAGACCTGCGATGTGACAGTGTAGGAGAATCAGTCAAACCACCACAATAAAAACAGAGGTCGCGACAGACAGCAGTCGTTACCTGGCAGTCCAGGTGTGCATTCTGATGAGGTTTCTCTGGGAAGTCATGTCTGGCCAGCGCGTTTACTCGCTCACTCATTTGCTTCTGAACCAGCAGCACCTATTCTTACAGGAGATGCATACTGAATTTTATTTAAAGTCCTCCCCCCCCCATCTGTACCTTTTAATACAGAACTATATAACTACTGAAGAACAGACATTCTGCTACGTTGCTATATGAAACTTGAGAGTCAAATCCTATAATCCTGTTTGACAGGTTGCTGGTATGTAACAATTTGCCTGCCCACCTCAGTAGCACTACCATGGCTGAGAGCTTGCTCTGTGAAACTGCAACTGCTCTGAATATGTTCCTTCCCCTGGAGGAGAGCTGAAAGCTGGGCCTGCAGGACCTGTGCTCAAGAATGAGGAGGAATAAGAGAAAACGGACACAGGAGGGTCATTAGAGCATGTTAAAACAATACTGAAGATGAGAAAAAGCAGCTGAATACATTAGAAAAGAGGAAAATTAGGAATTAAATGTCAAGAAAGCAATTAATCTCTGGTATCAAGGACAAAAACATATGCATGTGTGTATACATGAGTGAATGAACTGGTCATCAACTAACTTTCTGCTTGGTACTGCAGATATTCTCCAAATCTGTGATGAGGGCCGTCTTGCGCTGATGCAGCGCCTGTTCCAGCTCTTCAAATGTACTTGTAATTTCCGCTACTGCCTCATTCTTCCTTTCACTCAGCTGTCGAGAGATCTCACTCACCAGCTCAATGGCCGCTGTTAACTGAGGTAGCCTGCAACATGAAACAAGGTGAAAATGTATTCCATAGCAGCTGAACACAATGAAAAAGTCTGACAGACGAGGCACGGTGTGCGCAGATCGCCTAAGGTCTGGACCAAATGCTTAAGCTGCTTAAAGCTTTCCCGAGGTATCAAGACCCCCACCTGCTGTGTATGGCATCCAGCTGTGTCTTCAGCGCAGCCTTGTGCTGTTCCACCACATCCCGCAGAGGAACAGTCATGTGCTCCCTGTGCTCGCCCTCTGTGCACTCCAAACACATGGCTGTCTCACATGACTCGCAGTAGAACTCCATCACCTGCAGAGGGAGACAGAGCGAGTCATTCTCTTGCAAAAAAAAAAAAGAAATGAATGTAACATTCAGTTCCTATTACACCAATTACTGTTGAAATAACACGGAAAGGAATTTAGGTAAGGTGATGACTCGGGTAGTATATCTCAAAAGAGCTTCTCACCTTTCCTTCGTGGTTTGGGCAGCAGAGCGGCTTCCCTGCAGCTGCAGCACTGACTGATTCCAACACACTGCAGGCCTCTGGCCGCGAGCACTCTGGGTCTCGTTGAAGGACCTAATGCAATACATTCTTATATTCAGTGTGGAACAAGGAGGTATTTCTTTATTTTGTTATTTGTAATGCGCATTTGAATTATCTGGCTAATGCATTGTGTTTTCAAACCTCCATAAGATTAGTGATGAAGAAGTTGTTCTGCAGGGCACAAACTCCTTTCTCTGGCAGGATAGATGTCTGCCGGCACACTGGGCATGAGAGTGTCAGAGACTCAGGGGGAATGTAGGTCTGGAGACAGCTGAAGGAAGAGGCCAACAAATATATAAATATAAAACTTAGATAACCAATACAGCAGAAAAAAAAAGAAGAGGAAGGTGTGAGGAAGACAGAGCAATCACATAATAAAGAGAGGCAGTGCCTAAATAGTGCTCCCGTCACAACAAATAAGGGAATAGAGTGGATTTAAATCAATACAGAGCCCACAGGCTTGAGAGAAAACATGCACACTCTCTTTGAGTAAGTGAGCATCTGGCAAATCAATTTGACTAACAGAGTCACTAAGAGGCAAAACAGTTCAATCATGAACATGTGAAGTGCATTTTTTTTCTGTTTGTGCATCTACGTGCGCGTTTGTGTAGTTTGGATTCTGGCCTGGCTTCACGCATGCTAGTAGTCACATCTATCCTGCTTGGCTCTACATGCTAAAGATTTTTCCAGGTTTGGTTAACAAGCCCACTGGAGCGTATCAACAACATTAGACGCTAACAAGGGAAAAAACCAAAGCCAGTCAGTAACTTTCAGGTGCAGTTTGCAGACTGCAATGCATTCCTTGTCTACAGCCCAGGTGCCCACCCTCAGGTGATGTACAGCTGTATTTCTTTAGTTCCTGTAGTTAATGATTTGGCGATTAATACAGTAAGAAACCCTGAGTCAGTTCTCAGGATAAGTCTCTGTTGTTTTACAAAAGTATGTTTGGCAGCTGCTTAGGCTGCATGCTGGAACAATTATATTTAATTTATGACACCATACAAGCTCGTATCAGCCAAGCCTCCCTGTTTCTGCTTCTGAGAACAACCGAGAGGATGAACAAAAACATTTTTTCTATCAAATATTTTGTCAAAAATCAAACATGAAGCTCGCTGGGAGCGGCAGGCAGGGATTCAAGGGTAAGAAAATGTCATTTATCTATTCTAATTGCTTTTACTGTTGTTGTAAAATGTAATTATTTTGGCATCATTTCTATATTATGAAGTAGTCGTATCCTAAGGTTATATGCAAAAAGGACAATCACATACAGAGGACATCGGGAGCAAAATGAAGCAAAGTAACACCCTCCCAAAAGGAATAGGCCCAGCGGGGGTTTGCACCACACCCCTCTATAAAGTACATAAACCCACCCCAGCATTAAAACATCTGTCTGGAAATATTGCGTATAGCCCTAGACAAAAATCTGTTCACCTCAGCAGGACTCCACATCACATGCTATCCAGTTAAACCAGGGATTAAACTTGCCCTCCGGTGGGCAAATGCAGCTCAGACTGCATGGGGAAAAAAAGAGAATTATCTCATACTGTGTGGCTTTTAAAAAGCCATTCGATAAATATTTGGTAGATCGTGGGTTTAGGAGCAAACCAGTCTGAAACATAATCCTGGTTTTCTTCTGCAGCCAACAACATGCCCCTTCTTCATTCTCCATCCTCCCACCATGACCCACAACAAGCTTTCAAAAAGCTTCCTCCTGCTTGGCTCGGCTCTAGCATTATCACCTGAGGGGGTGTCATCCTTCCCAAGAAACTGTGGATTGAGCCACTGTAATTGTGTCTCTCAACAGTGAGCCTTTTCTCAGACTGCAGTCCTTGACAGTCCCTGATGCTGAGGAATGCACTTATCCCAGCAGCGTCAGTGACGAGAAGCGCTCTGAGCTTTTTAATTGTGTGTAGGGATTTGCAATAGACGAGGTTCCTCTATTGGCCAGCATGTAGGTATGACAGGAATTCTATGATAACAGGGTAAGAGACAGGATTTACTAGAAGAAAGACAGGTATGGTAAACAATGTACTGTAGCTCCTTTGAATGGCCAGAAATAGCTACATGCAGCAGACAGTGCGAGCAGCAATAATTAGGACTCCTGACCGGTGTCATTGATGCAGACAGCACAAACATTAGTTACCTTTCACAGAAGGTGTGCAGGCAGGGCAAGACCTTGGGGTTGCGGTAATGATCCAGGCAGATGCTGCAGACCAGAAACTGCTTGTCTATCTGACGTACCACAGGGCTGGTACTTCCAGCCTCGCGCTTGGCCATGGCAAAGGAAATTTAAAGCCACGGACAACGACAGCAGTTAACCTAACAAGAGAAAGAGAAAGATGAAAATATTAAAGAAAAATGCTGCACTCCAGCTTTTTCTTCGGTCTTCTTTGCTGAGCTATTGTTCAGCAAACTTTTCAGAGAAGGTACCAGGAACCAAAGCAAAACAAAGCTGTTTAATGCCTTGATCAGAACAAGCCCACTGTTATGCAGTTATTTCTAGGTTAATACCAGAGCAACGTCATCTGAAAGAGAGCTGAAAGAGGCTTGCAGTTCATGCTCAGCAGATGCAGATGAACCGTTATGGCCAAATGTGTGAGTAACACATTAAAGTTATAAAATACAAAAATAAGCAAAGAAGGCGTAAGAAAGAAAAGGCTTTGTAACGAGCAAGTAAGCACTCAACAAAAGGGTTGTTTTTGGGGTTTTTTTTACAAATCCACAATAATCCATTGAAACAGTCGTAGTTTGAACATACAAAAATAATAATAAAAAAAAAACATAAGAAGTTTAAGCTGGAATAGGCTTAATTTCTTATTTTATGAACCACACAGCTACATTTTCACATTCACAGCAAACAGCACACCTCTGTAGGTAGAAGTTACATGAAAGCCAGAAACCAACTGTAGGGTGACCAGAACAGAGAAGTCTGTTATTGTTCTCACATTGGGGAAAAAAAACTATATATATGATGCAAGGTATGGATATTTTGCCTAGCAACACAAACCCCTGCTGCCTCCACATGGCCCACTTTCACATTCATCAGTGCAAGGCCAGCAAATATGGCAAAATTAATTACAGCAGTAAAAAAATGCTAGTGAAGCATCGCTTGCAAGATCAGGTGTTAACTGAAAACAAGCATCCAGTGCAAATATTGTACATACATATCAAGAGGTCATAACCACACAGCTTGACTTGATGCATGGCTTAAATTTGCTTTTGCTGAATGCTGTTCATATCATTTTCATCTCTCTGTTGCTAACAGCAATGAATTCAGCCACATTTTCTCAGTAGGTCAGCACATGCATTATTCATGCATCAGGCATGCACTCATGTGCTCATACAGATGGAGGGGTGAGCGAAGAGTAGTACATGCCTCAAGTAAACACACAATGATAGGAAAGCAGTTATAAACATTACACACACACACACACACACACACACACACAGACACACACTGACAATCATTATCCCCCCACCAGACTTTCCCTCCGGTCTGCACATCTGTCGCTGCTGGATCTAATACAGCTCTCAATCCCCTGTCCCATCTCCGCTCGTGTCCTATTGTTAGTTGTTGCCCACCGAGCATGAGCACGCGCACGGACACTCACACACCAGAGTGGGTAAAAGCCAAGTTGTATCTTTCCAGTCTTTGCACAGAGGATCCAATGACATACAGTCCCCACACTGGGAGGGTAAAGGTCATATCTTAAGCCATCAACTCCAAGAACAACATGTCACATTTGTAGTCGGGTTAAAGACACGCAGGGTGTCAAACGGAAATGATTGGTGGTAAGTAGCTTATGTTTTGCCTAAATCGAAATATGCATTGTTCTCCATAAGTCCTCTGCTTTAAACCGGCATTTCAAGAGTATCTAGTTGTCTCTGCTGGACTCCAATGAAAAGAAGCTGGAATGAAAAGAAGGAGTGTAGAAATAATGTGGGGATCAACTACAGGATGTATTTAGTTCTTCAGCACAGTTCTCACACTTCTCCATCATTCTGTTTTTCTGTACTAGAACACACCGATACTAATATCATCTGTTATGACGTCTGTCTAAATTTAGACTCGTGTATTAGTGACTAGACGAGGAAGCAATGACAGTGAGGCTAAAATAAGACCACCGGTCCTCGGGACTGCTGGACAGTGAGGTGATTTGTGTCCATTCGTCTACTGCTGGTTTCACAGCACTTTTCTTGGGTGGACTGCTGTGAAAGAAGAATGCGGAGTCTGAAAAGTGCCAAATAATAAGTACTCTTCCTTAAAACACTGGAATAAAGATTAAAGTAGCAGTGTGAGATGATGCAACTTTCAAAAAAGAAACTTAATTTAACATGTTTTTTTTTTCTTTTGTATCTAAACTATAGCTGAGGCAAACCTTTTGCACTTTCGAGCTTTAAAATGAACTTGATGGAGACATGAAAAGCAAATGCTGTAACATCAAGAAGATTTGACCGCCGTGGATGCACATGAATGAATACACTCGTATTCACAGTTACATGAATTCAGCAGACCAAGTTTTGACACGGGCCCCATCTTCATTCATGCTCACTTAAACTCCTAAGTAGGCCACGATGCTTAGTTTTGATGGTCTAAAGTATCCATGACCAGTTTTTAACTGACAGGCTTTAAAGTGAGTGAAGGGAAGCAGATTTAGAATTTAGACTCTGCAGTTAAAGGCACTGGGATGGGATAAAGCCAAACACATTCAGGATGCATGAAGAAAAATTATGCATGAAGAGGACACGTCTTTGAGAGAGCTGCCAACTAATACCATAAAAGCAAAAATGTGTCATAATTCTCCTGGCCATTATAAACACAGTAATAATAGCAGCAATGCTGCTGGTGACCTTAGATTAAGTAATTCCCCAAACTCGCAGTATTATAGTATTTGAATGCTGAGCTAATTGTTTTTGTGTGTGTGCTTAAGCGCATGTGTCACGTTCTGTTTACTGTTGGCTTTACAGAACACAAAAGTGACCATGTTCTTTGTCTCATTCACGACTGAAACCTCTGCTGGTGCTTTACCGTACCACAGGATCCTCACAGTTTGGGTGAAGTCTCTCTTACAGAACACACATGCAGATAAACCTGAAAAAGTGGCAAGGCGGGATATTAAATGTCTTCTTCTCGCTTCAGAAGCATGGTGGGAGAGATGGGTTAGAGCGCGATACATTTTAACAGGCCAGAGAAATAATGCAGGAGACGTATGATACTCTCTGTCGTCTTCTCACTGTGATACACCTGTGCAACACCAACAGATAAGAGCTGACAGCCTGTGTAAACACGCAAAACACCAACACTCCACTGTGATGACAGGTGAGCTGATACTGTAAAGTTACACACACACACACACACACACACAGGCAAACATGGACATGAAAACAAAAACAAACAAACACAAAGTCGACAGAGACACTACCTACTGTCGGTGAAGTGGAGTACATCTGTCTAGAAGACTTCATGGCAACTCTGTGTTAAGCCACTGTAGCACTCAAGAACCAGCACACGCCCTGAGTCACACACTCTTGCCTTCTAGTTTCTCTCCTCTGACCGCTCTTCCTTTTCCTTCTCTCGCTTTCCCCTTTTCCATGCAAGGCACGCACACTGAAGAGGGCTGAGCGGGGATGACAACAAAGGGTGGGACTGTAAATTGAAAGTCCCTCCTACTGTCAGTGTCGTTTACAAGCATGAGCTCACTCTATGCCCTCCTACTGCTGCGCTCTGATTGGCTGGGAAACCTAAACCAGCAAGCAAGATGTATTGCATCATGGGCCAACAATTTGCGCTGGACTGGAGGGTGTGAGTGTTGGACAAAAAAAATCTTAAACTCCAAAGAACATGTTGCACAAAGGTCCTGCTGAGTAATAATTAAATTTGTGAAATATTTTGCACAGTGATTAGAATATATGTTTTATTTGTATAATCTAGTATCCAGTTATGAGGAATTATGTCATTACTTGGCCATCCAAGCATGCAGATGCATGCTTGCAGACACATTTAGGGCAGCCAAATAAAACAGACTTATATAATTCATGAAGTCACTTACTTTAAGTGAGAATATCAGAGCATATGCCTCTCCATCTAGTATCAAATTACACATATGCACGGATTAAGACGGACACTCTGAACCGAAAAGGGGATCATCATTATGAAATTTCTTGCCGTGGGATAATTTTGCACTCAATCCCTTAAATGCCCCGTCCTTGTGATGTGGTCATAATCTGAAGCCAGAGGTGACGATTCCCTGACAAAAAACATCAATCTACATTTAATCTGTTCGGATTAAGTCCAGTCTTCTCTCCTCCCACGCTCTACTTCCTCTGCACCCACCCACACACACACCTACCTTTCCAAAATTCTGTCATCCTAAACTCAAAAGCGCAGACTGATGTGCTGGATGTAACAGGAAGTAAAGGGATAAGAGGATGAAGACAGAGTGAGATGTCTGAAGGGAATTTATTGTTGCCTCATCGATGTTCTGGCACAGTTTTGTACATTTTTGTGTAGCATTGTGTGGCACTTTCAAAGCGCAAGGATTTTTTGTAGCCACTTATAACTGTTAAACAAGCGCTTTGAAAACTTGTGCAACTTGATAGTTACAATATAGCACTTACTAACATGTCACCATTGGATGAAACAGTTTACGAGCATATCTTGTTTTATGTTCCATAGAGAGGGTATCTGGCGTGACCAATATACTCAATGCATCACTGCAGCATGGGCCGCCTTTTCGAAAAGGCCCTTGTCATCCCTGCAGTGAGCACTCACACTCAAAAGCATTATTAGTTCTCTACAGTTTCTGCTGAAGCGACAGTTCGTTCAGAATATATGACACCTGCAGATGAACCACCACTGGTATCACCAATGAGTCCCTTGAAATAAGTAAAGGTAATATGAAAGGAGTGTGCCGAGTGTGTGAATTACAGGTTCTCTTTTTTATTCCAAAATAAATAAAGATTGCAATTAAGTCTTTATCATTTTTATTACACTAATGCTTTTGCATGAACACACAGCTGCAGTTAAACCTGCGACTTGCGTAATGTCAACAGTCAAAAGAAACCGTTCTGCCTCAGGGTCGGAGTAATGACAGTGATGAAAGGGATGTTCCCCTAAAACCCCAAAGAAATAAAATCCAACCCTCACTTCAGGGAGTGAACAAAGAATGATCAAGTAATCAAATAGCTTTCACGCTGCGTTTATTTTTAATTATTTTTTTTTGGTGGGGCCTTTGGTGTGCTTTTTCTTTTTGTCAGTCCTGTGAGAACTGACACAAAGTGGCAAATGATGTGACAAGAAATGTTACATAAGCGTGAGT